GCTATAAAACCTATTTCCACCCAGCTTTAAAAAAAAGGCATGCTACAAAAATAGCTTTTTTGAGTTACATCCAAATTTACATATGCGTGACTACCACTTGTTCATAAGGATATCATTTAACACTTCAGAATATTATGGAGCATCGCATTCTAAGATAATTATTCTAGGACTGACAGAATATTATCATTCAATGAATATTACTTGCAGATTTAAGCTAGATTTGTGACACAACAGCATTCGACCACATATGAAGTGTTTTATTCCACTCAAGGCACCTTAGCACTGTACTCAAGAATCCTCACAGCAACACTGTTTTGTATTTGTATTTGTTTTGACTCAGATCACATCAGTAGAAAACATCACTATTTTGTACAACACCTCTCTCAACACATTTACACATTTATTAAAAATCAGCACATTCTTGCAAAATAACATCAACAAATATAACTACGCTCACCTGTCTCCACTGTAAAAAAAAAAATACCTTGTAGCTTATCAACTAAAAGTACATAATGGACAAAGAACTATCTTAGAAATACACAATTAGCAAGGGAAAAAGCATCCACCTGTAATGCAAGTATTTTTAAAATTCTGTATTTTAGAATACATACTTACTGAATCACTAACCTTAAATTTTACTTTTCGGTATCAGATCTTACAGCAGAGAAAATACAGTAATAAAGGTGGCCAGTTCACTGTTTATGAAACAGTATGAACAGTTTCGGCTGCTTTTTCATTCCTTTCTATCCTTTATCAGTAACTCAGCAAATCCAGAGCAACACCTCAACAATTCAACCCTTTAGATGCCAGTGTTGGCACACTGTTCTCACTTAAAAGGGGCCACTACGATCCCCATAAAGTCAAAGTAGTATTTTAAACACGTCTGCAAAAAATATTAAGCCCTAATGATTTAGATAGTAAACTACACATAGAATTCACAAATGACTGCATGAAATTCTCTTCTTAAAGAAAGTGTTTAAGGAAAAAAAAAAAGCTAGATTTGGAAGTAAACATGATTAGTCCATGCCAAAAGGAAGAAATGTCATCCTTACTTTTCCTCAATATTAAACTTAGATCTGTACGATCTGAAATAGATGGAGACTGACTTTTTACATGACCTCACAGTAAGAGGGCAAGAGGAACAGTTGTGAACAAAAAGAAAGGAGATGAAATCATCTCAGTCAGGGGAAAATTCTTTACTCAGAGGGCAGTGAGGCCCTGGCACTGCTGCTCAGAAAGCTGTGGGTGCCTCATCCCCAGAGGTGCCCAAAGCCAGGCTAGATGGGCCTTGGGCAGACTGAGCTGGTGGGGGGCAGGGAGTCCATGCAGGTGGTGGAGCTACTCATGCAAGTTCTAGAGCTTTTTCCAATATGTGATGTATTTAGGTGTCAGAAGTTCATATAGTTAACCTAGATTAAAGAATTGAAGTAAAATTTACAACACTAGCAATTAGCACAGTAACTGCCAGCACAGGGCAAAGCAAATCACAGACACTCTGGAGTTATTTGCTAATTTAACTGTAAATATATATATATATATATATATATATATATATCCATAGTGCAAAAATAAACTGTAAAGAAGATTCTGTATTTCAAGTGGAGAGTTGCAAAGAACACAAACTTCAGTGTAACAGCAGTCAGATACATACAATAAATACTTGTCCATACTGAACATTTGTGCTGTTTGTGTCTCAGAAAACATTCTGAATTCATCAGTTTAAATACATCCTGAATTACAAGCCATTTTCTTAACAGTGCTAAAATAATGATAAGCTTCTGAAAGCTAAATCACCCTTAATTATTTATACTAGCTATAACCAAAGCATTAATCAGGAAGTTTTCAAACACCACAAAAAAAACCACAAAACACTTGATTAGACCCCAACAAGTAACTTTTCCCAGACAACAGCTAAAAACAAAACCAACTTTCTGTAATAAGTACCCATACTACAAATCTTAGCAAACATGGTAAAGCAGATAAGCTGAAGTTAACACAACACAAACTTGTAGGCACAGATTTTTTTTTTGTTTCAGTGAGAAATTAGCAAGATCTTTTCACACCATCTGACCTTAGATTACAGTCCTGGAAGCAGCCTTTCTGGGATACTCCTGGGTTATGTGCAGGCAGACACTGCCTGTTCTACCTGCACTGAGTCAGGCTGCACTTCACTGTGCTGTACAGGGATCTTCACTGGCTTGCAGTTTTGCTAACACGCGCATGTCTCTGCAAAGCAACAGCACCCCACACTTCTCAGAAATTCTGTGTTTATTCTTTGAGCATCTTAACTCATAATTTATTTCCTTTTCTTTCTGCTAAGCTATGCAGCTCCTCCATTTCCTGAATAAACTGTGGGTTTACAATGTTAAGCGTAACGTGCTCCAATGAATACAAATCATATTGCACTAATAGCAGTTAACAGGGCAAACACACTGGCATTTCCAGAAACAATTTCATGCAATATCAAAAGGAAAGTTAGCAGCATACCTGAAGGCTAAAAGTTGAGGCTAGTTTAGGTTAAAAGGCAAAATATTTCCCATGTAAGAAACACAGACCAAAAACCACTTAGGCAGTTCCCCCTCTCCCTTCTCATTAGTTCAAGAGATCCGCTGACCCCAGCTCGAGTCCTACAGCACAGAAGAAAGCAGCCATACTTGAGCATTACCGCAGGCCACTGAGAGCCTACCAGCCACAAGCTCCCACAGAGCTAACACAATTTTGCACACACAGAGTCAGTTCCATTCTGTAAGTTGTGTTTTTAATACGACCTTATATGAAGTACCTCACACGACACCCTACCCAGTATTTATGAATGGAACACACATCTCTTGGCCTACTACATGTAGAAGGAAGGTTTCCCAGCACTGTGGCTACAGAAATACAACTCCCTTAAGAGTTTTAACCAGCTTCCAAAACAACGAACCCAAAGCAATACTGTGTTCATTCCAATCCTTTACTCAAGTCAAACTTGCCTTAATCCTCTTGGCCTTTTTAAATTACAGCCTGGCCAGTAGGCTTTCACTGCTGTCCAGGCAGGAAACACATGCAAAAAACTCAAACACAGAACAAGAAAGTTTAGGAAGTCCAATAGCCACAAGCAGGCACATGTACTGGGAGCAGCAATTACACAGGTACCTGGCTACTATCCATGAGACTGGACATAGCCTTACTAGAAACACAGTAATTATTATCCATCACTAGATCACCAACGGTACTAGTGTTTCATAAAGTTTGACTTTCAACAGCCTGGAGACACACATACAGCACCATGAGACATCCTCCAGAGCTAAGTTCAGCATCTTTTATTTCCTGTCACCTGAAAGTAGGTGAAAGGAATCACAGCTTGAAAGACAAAGCATGTGCGCAATACATTGCTATTGACATGTAGGTACATTGCTTCAAAAGCATTAACACATCTTACACAGATAAAGATTTTTTTTTTTTTTTTTTTAATTCTTGTATTCCAGTCAGGCTCTCTTCTGCCATTCGTTGGTCTATTTCAACTCCAATATCTTTCAAAAAATTTCTGCACATTCACCCCATCCTCTGGGGACTGACTACCTTTCCCCCCCTCTCATCCACACTCACTTTTCTCATTCCATCTCAATATCCATTCTGCTTCCAGTTGAATACTCAGTCCAGTCTCACTGACCTGACAGCCCCAGACACTACCAGAAACACACTATTTACAACTGGACAGAATGGAGGTTCTAAGAACAAGTCATGAGTATTTTCCTCTGCCAGTGATTCTCTGAACAGAGGAGAACGCCTGTCAACAAGGCTGTGATCAAACCTTTTTCAAAAAACGCTGCTTTTATTTGGTGTAATTTGCTTATGCCTCACCCCAGATGTGATGGCTAACTGTATGTGCGTGAACTTGCCCTGTCAGTTTAAGACATACAACATACCTTTCAGTAATCTGTGGTGATACATATTCTTATTTAGACATTCAATAAAAGAGATTGAAATTTACGGATTAAACTGCATTTAAATCTTGAAGCCTTTTATACAGATTTTCACGCTAGCAAGATGAACAGTATTTCGTATTCTTTTCATAAAAGCAGTATCCATGGGATAAGAGGAATGCTGCAGCCTAATTTTATCTACATGAAGAGCAGTACAGTTTGTGTAAGCAGGGAAACTGGGTTCCTTATTGTCAAGGAGCACTAATGCATTATATCAAGAGGAAAATTACTAAGGAAAAAAAAAGTCTTATCCCCTGACATTTTCACATTATCTACCACGGTCTGCCTAACATTTCAGTGATGTATTGGCGTTTCACTGCCAACTTTGAAGACAAGAAAGTAGAATGCACTGCATTCCAAAAATGCCTTTTTTGAAATAAACCTTTAGAGTAGATCAGTTTCTTGTAAACTACACATCAGTGCATCCGAGCACATCTGGAAAACCGCACCTTAATTCCACAAGGTACTGTAAGCACAACACACTGACATGCTAACAGCACAGACAGTAGCTAAAACAATAAATACCACATTAGTGAGAGAAGATGCATCAATTATTATTGTTTTTCAGCAGTAAATATAATTCTGTATGATCACAAAGCCCTAAAATTGACAAAAGAACTCTGTCTAGTTCATGCTCAGGAAATCCGACCAACCAGCAGGGATAGACCTGGCCTTCTCTCAGTGCCAAGATCTTTGTTTGCACAAAGTAGAGTTTGAGCATGTCTCACTGAGGACACAAAATTGATGTTTTACCAAAAAAAAAAAAAAAAAACACCAAATTTTTTTTTTTTTATGCAAGATGGGTGAATTCACTTTCACATAAACCCTTTTGGGCTGAAAAGGCTCAGGTATTTTCTGAAGTGACTGCCAAGATGGCAACAGCCTGGAAACCTGTTTGCATATGCAAGTATGTGCAAGTTTGCATATGCTAATATTTAATAGATAATATGTTTTTCAGTTAAAGTGTCAGAGTAAAAATGCTTCAATCTCACACTCAATCCCTCACAAGAGTCACTTTGGTTTAGAAAGACATACCTTTTAAAGCTGGCAGTTTTTGAAGCTCCCTGTTATTGCTGACATTAAACCTTGATGAACTCTGACGCTTTTCCTTTTTCAGTACTGTCTGGGGTGCTGGTACTTTGATTTTAGATAACTGTGCTGGGGGAGGAGCGCTGTTTGATTTTTTGTTTGACACCTGTTTAAAAAGAAATGAAAACAGTTAACTGTTGGAGCAACTTGGAGCATCTTTTATGTTGTCTTTACAGAAATAACATAAATAGAATGTTTTGACTGAAAGGTTATTTTGTCATCCCCTGTGTGTATAATTACTTTGTTCCCTATGTGCATTATTTCTATATCATAACATTCACATAGATGGAAATTAATCATTGTTACATGCATCCACCCATTTCTTCAGTTACCTGCCAACCAAAAAAATATGTTATAACATAGCTCCTCAGCTGCTACCACCATCTGCGTGAGGAGTCCAGGTCTTCAAGGTACTTGGCTATCTGACTTTGGCAGGGGGGTTGGACTCGATGATCTCTGGAGGTCCCTTCCAACCTCTACAATTCTGTGATTCTGTGATTCTGTGACTTGAGCTTCAAAAGAATCAGGACCCTGTCTATTTACATCAGCTGAACTTCACTCTGCCTATTTGTATTGTGCCTTGCAATCAGAGTCATACATTGGCCAGGGTATTCAGACTTGGACAGAAGTTTAGAAAATAAAAAGGATGAATCTTATTATTGTAGCAAATAGAGTTAGGAAACTTCAGCAGCTTCTAAAACATACATATAGCAGTTTGCTGCCTATTCAGAGCAAGTGGCTTTTACTGTAATATTCCTTACCATATTGTCACTGTACCTGTGTATGAATTAAACAACAGAATGAGAAGAATGGACCTTTTTGCTCCATTTCCCAGAACATATTTGATAGTGCTCTCACTCAAGCTAAATAAAATGCATCACTAACAAAAGCCTGTCAGAACTTGAAATGAGAAAAGCAACATTACCTTTTTTTTTTTTTTTTGTAGGAAAAGCAGGTTTAAAGTAGGCAATAGTTGACTGTTTCTAAACATGAAAAACTTCACAAGGCACTTTACAAGGACAATAATACATCTAGATACATAATACATCTAGAAACAGTCTACAACAGGAATGTAACAACAGCTAAGTGAGAAACCTTACTGCAGGTACTGTAGTTTGGTGGTTTTTAGTTTTGCTGTTTAGAAAAAAACAGGATCTTAAATTGATGTAGAAACTTTTCAAATTTGCAAGCTATTTTACATCGCAGCAAACTACTGAAAAGACACCTTAGCTTACTGAAAAGACATTCTCTCTTACAGGAGGAGAACACAGTCTCCTTTTCAATAAATGCCTATATGATAAGTAAAAGGAAAAAAATTGGACAGGAATGGGATTCAGGATGGAAATCAGGTCATAATGCTGCTATTTCAGCATTTCAATGGATTTAAGTATAACAGATACAAAAGCTGTGTTTCAGTTACCAGACACTTTCATAGAGATGTATCTAAAACAACAAATCTCATATTCTGAAGAGGATTTCCAGAATAGCTTATTCATTAGCCATTTCCATACAGTTTGTGAGTGAACACGTTCAGTGCATGTAGAAATGTTACCTTACCATACATCACCATTCACAGAGTCTAAAGGTAGACAAATTGAAGACTGTCGTTTTATGCAAACCTTTATCTAGAAGCAAATACTCTGTAACCGGCAGAGAAATGTCTGTATTTCAACAATACAATTGTAACAATATGTAACAGAACTGTTCACGCATTGGAAATGACTGAAAGCAACATTTAGATGTTTAATGAGAACTAAGATACCCATTCTGCAAGTTTTTAAAATTAAAAGAGCAAAAATACAGAACAAATAAGGGAAAAGAGGCAGCACGTTGATAACCACAAGTTATCAAAATTATATTCCAGACTTCCAGTAAAAATGGTGCAAGTTTGTAAGTTAAAGGCATTTACATACAAATGACAGCCATTTCCCTGCATTACATATATTTTTTTCCACTATTTCTCTAAAACACTAACTGCTGAAAAATCTTTTTTGCTGAAATACAAATGATCCGCGAGGTAAATTCTACCCCTTAACTCAAATTAAGAAAAAAGTGTTCTAAATTATCAAGTGACAAAGCAGATGGAAAAGTAGCACTAAAAATTAGGAAGCGATGATTTGCCATGCATTATGCAATTAAAGCTAATCATACTTTCAACCTATTATAAGCAATATTACTATACAAGATTCTACACTTTTAATGTTATGCATGATCTTAATGCTGTTTTCTGAACAGGCTATCTTCCATTACCACCTGTTTTTTTGTTCATTACTTAAAACAGGAAAAGTCACTTTCCTGCTTCCTCTATTCCCAAGCAAATTCTTAACTGTGAATTAACAAGTAGTCACTTGTGCCTTCACACACACACACACACACACACACTACAGCAAATTACAGTAACTCACTCACCAGGAAACCATGTATTCTGAATTGCAGATAAATTCTAAAATTAGCCAAAAGTAGTTATTTAAAAGGATGGGCAACATTTCTAAATAGAGGCGTTGAAAGAAAGCATTTTTTTGTTCCTATGGCAACTTCCAGTCTTGCAGTGATGGTTCCACGTAATTCCAGCCGTGAATCACCAGCCCTTCTTTCCACCATCAGCCCCAACTATCCCTGAATTTCAGCTGTGTTCCAACTGTTCAGCCATCACACATCAGAGAACTGCCAGAGCAGCTTACAGCTCTTGGTTATGTGAAAGCTATGCTATGCAGCAATGACTGACAACTTCTGCAAGTGGCACTACAGCTCCCTAAAGACTGTGCTCACCTCCAAAACTGGCACATAACCAGCCTTTGCATTGAAGGGCATCTGAAGAAATTATGTCATTTTAGGCAGCATATCTCAGTCATCCCACCTTTTGTTTTCTGCATTAGGCAGCTGCAAGCCTAATAAGAACTTAGACTACTTCACTTTTTAAAAAGATACAGTGCTCCTTAGTTCTGAATGAAGACCCGTGCTCAGCTTCCTCCCCCAGTAACCAAACTATTTCAGAAAACCACAATTCCAGAGGAAAGCTGACAGACGTTTGGCTACGAAGAACAATTATTTGATAGTAGAACAGTCAAATTACAGATACACTTTTATCAATACTTTCAGTAATTAGAACGGGAAATACCTGTTCTTACCCTCGTTCTGAAAAACCGCTCCCTCCTACCCAAGTGTTTATATAGTCACACTCAACTCAAAGTGGCTGATAAACCTAAAAATGTGTACAAATTACTCTGAAAAATCGTCATACTGAGAAAGTGTTTATGTGGATCATAATTTAAAAACAACCTCCAGATTTTCTGATCATCTTCACTTTTAAAGGTGGAGCTTCACTTATTTTGACGAATATTAAGACTATCATGACAACTGTAATTCTGACTTCTAACTCCTGCTTGAAATAATTGAGAAAACAGAGCTTATGCTCCTCGGTTCCCATGAATAGGCTTGACACGAATTCAAGAAAGGAAGAAGTTACTTGTCAGTAACAAGAGCTCAAGATGTAGTCCTTGCATCCCTCCCTCCCTTGTGTCACAAAACAGCTAAGGTCAGCAGGGTCCCTGGGGTCCACCTCTCCAGCTCCTGCTCAAGCAAGGACACCCAGAGCAGGGTGCACAGACACATCCAGGCAGCTCTTGAAGATCTCAAAGAGATTCCCCAGCCTCTCTGGTGGCCTGTGCCAGTACCTCATTATCCACACAGCACAGAAGTGCTGCTTGATGGTCAGATGGGTCCTCCTGTGGCTCAGTTTGTGCACACTCCTCTTACCTTGGCACCAGGCAACACAGAAAAGAGCCTGGGCCTGTCCTCTTCGCACCAGCCTTGTCCATGTTTTAAAATACATTTATGAGACCCCACCTTCCCAGCCTTCTCTTCTCCAGACTGAGCAATCCCAGCACTCTCAGCCTTCCCAAAGATATTGAACAACTGTCAGGCAGAAGTCCTCATGTATGAAGAATGAAGTACATTAGTGTTTTAACAACACTGCTTTGAACACAGTTTGATTCCTTGAGCACCTGACGCAGGTGCATACTGGCCAAAGCAAAACACTCATTTGTGATCAGATGAAAAGGACAAAGCACATCTCCAGTTACAGCCAGTTTTTAAATTAATTGATCATCACCCACCAGCCCACATGGTAACTTCAGACAGTCACCTAAGAGAAGAGGGCTGGAGAGAACTGGGAGCAGAAACAAGGGTGCACCCGTGTCCCATTTCAACAAGTCTCTCCAGAAGACTCAAGACATCTTCCCTCACTGACAGTCCCTCAAACCACCAATACTCAAGCTACTTTACCAAATAGGCAACCAGAAAAATTTAGTCAACCTCACTTTTCAAAAAACAGTCACTAATAGTACTAATAGTCAAATTAGACCAGATCATACAAAGCCTCGTGGCTCCACAAAACCCTAAGGGTTTCCAAGGCAAACCTAGAAGAAAACAGCAAGCTCTCATACTTGGTTTTGAGATAAAGTGGTCAGAGAAGGGGAAGAATTTGAAGATGGCAATGGATGCATCTGCCAATCAAGATTTAAACAACTGAATGACTAAGCACAGGGCAAGAGATATTCTGTCTCCCTGCCTGAACACAGAACTAGGCAACATGCTGTATGGTGTTTCTTGATACATATCTGGTTAGCATTAGCCTGCAAGTGTATCCCCTCTATTGAGTACCATAATTGAATTCAAGTTTAAAAAGGCGCATGTACCAACCCAGCATAAAAACAGAATGCTCTACACCACTAAGAATCTTTATGAGAAGCCTAGAGAGCAAGGTTTACCTACTGAAACTTCTGAACCAGTTATCAAATGATTAAAACTTCCTGTGAAATGCAGGTACACAAGGTAAAAAGCAGAACGCTCTTGGTAAGAATCAAGATCTTGAACCTGAGATAGAAGGAAAATGCTTCTACTAATGCAGATTTAATCCTTTTCTTTTTCATTTTGGTACAATAAGTAGCCCCTATGGATTTACCCTTCATTAGGATAAACAGAGGCCAGCACCCAGAAGAACCCATTTCTTGCCAAGCAAGCCTCGAAAGGGGCTTTAAAAGCTCTCTGGATTACAGATGAAATAAACTTACATTGAATCTGAAATACAGCTTACTGAAACTAAGC